GTTAAGCGACGAGCGCGTAAGCTCGAAAAACGCTCCGCGGGATTTTATGAAATCACTAAAACTTTGAAAGCTCTTTGACTTTTCAGTAGATTTCATTTGTTTCCTAGCTTCAAGTTTTTTTTTTTTTTTTTTTTTTTTTTTTTAATTAAATCTTTATAAATTGTTCTGATTTAATAAAGATTTTTGTTAATTTTACAATGCCGATTTTTTTTTTTTTTTATATACAAGTCATTAAAAATTTTCTTACGTTACGTTAGGCTGCGTTGGAGTTTTATTTAAATTATTCACAAGAATGTATTATGGTTGCTCTATTATTATATTTCGATGTTAAGATCTGACACTCATCATCGTAAATCAATTACAATTGTTGCCTGTCGTTGAACTATTGGATAGAGAAATAATGTTGTGTTATTAACATTTAGCTTGCAAAATAAATGTGAAAATGAACGATCCCTAACGCAATTTCTCCAACATTATAGCACATTTCGATCTCGAGGGATGAAATACTATCTCCCTTGCTCAATATATCTTACACACGAACCGACATTTTTAAATTGCCAATTGAATCATTACAGCTAATAATAGCTACTAATAATTGTTTATTTCAATTTTATGTCGATGGAGCAGTTAAGTGACATAAGCCTTGAAATCTTGAAAATCAGACGACGAATCACTCTCTCAATTCATCACTCTCTCGGTAATTATGGAGCACAAAGTGAGTATACAAATAAATGAATACACTAGCCGGATCGTTTAATCAAGTTAGATCGTTAAGTTAGGGGATTAAGTTTAATAAAGTAAATAACTAAATTATTACATACTCAAGCAGTTGTCCCGAACGTAGTCGGGGATTGAATAAAAAAGTCTGGAATCTAATTAGCAGCTGATATGAATCCTGCGAAAATCCAAAATCCAAAATTATCAAGTAGAAAGGGAGTGAAAGGCCGAATCATGGCCGACGGGATCGCGCGATCCGAGCGCCCGAGTACGCTCAAATACCATTTCCAAATAATCTTCAATCACAATAGATCCAACACAATCATTCATTTAGTTTGCGAGCGAGAAAGGGCTCCGGCAGATATTGAAATCCCCTAATCGGACTAATTCAGCATCGGGTTTTCTCGTGGTTTGCCGTCCAATACGGCGCCTACGCTCACGTACGAGTAAATCCATCGGTGGTTGCCGTTGCCGTCCACGGGAATTAGCGCCGTGACTAAGAGGCGAGAACGACTCGACTCCGATCAGATGCCCGGGTCGACGGAGTCCTTTGCACACATTATCATTGAGCGTAGCTTCGACCTCCGAGACGACTACCACCACCCAACTCCTAGCTCTCTCAGGGCGTCCCCAGTTTGCCTTCGGCGCTTCTGGCCTCGGCCAAAGCTAAGGGTCAGCCGTGGGTCAGATCCGACCGACCAGCTCCATCCATCCATCCTTCTTTCCTTCCTTCCTTCCTTCCTTCCTACCTTCCTTTTCCCCGGATCGTTTGAATAATGACGCAAGCGGTTACGCTACGATCCCTACTACAATTGTACCATCGCCTCCGTCTCGATCCCACGATCCGTTTATCTCCGCTTTTTATCAGCCTCGTTCTCCTATTGCGCGTACTCACCCTGCCATTGATGCTTAGTATTTGTCTCAAGTTCTCGAGTCCTTGGTAATGTAATTTTGACCCGTAGCTTTTCCAGCAGAGATTTTCCATGTACGCTTAGCTATGATAAAATTACTCCCTATTTATTATATATAATCCATGTATCAATAGCTTTGATTTACGACTTTACATCTTTATCTCGATTATATGTATTTTTGTTTTATGCAAATAGAATGGCGGAGGCGCGTAGTCGATTATCGTAATTGTAACTACGGATAAAAGTGGAGAAAGATTTAATTTGTCGGAAGATCCAGTCGTCGCAACATTAACATCAATTTTCCTATTTGGATATTTATATAATTTTCAATAATAAATGACGCAATGTCTTATAATTTCCATTAACTCTCAAAGTCCTACATGTGTTATTATTATCGTTGTCGTCGTTTACATTAATTATTAATTTTGAGCTCTGTAAATTGATATTTTTTTATTATTATTATTTCTTCTTACGATAGACGCTATAATGACGCGTCATTATGTATTTGAAATGTATTTGAAAATTGAGAATCTAGAGAATGTCGAAGAAGTAATTAACTAACGAAACACTCCGGCTGATATCAGTATCATATCGTATCGAGAATAAATAATTCAATTGCATAAAAAAGTTTTTATTTATTAGCCTCATTTTTCGTGAAAATTGCCGTTTGTAACTCGTAATCGCATACTTTTTATGATCAATCCGAGCCGATCAATAATGAGTGGATTAACAATTTTCTACCCCCCCCCCCCACAACCCCCTATCCACA